CCCCCGGGAGCCCCGGCCATGTCCTCCCCGGCATCCCCCACCGCCTCCAGCATCACCCCAAGCTTTTCCTGGGAGTCCCGGCCGTGCCCCCAGCATCACCCCAGGATGTCACAGCATCACGGTGAGGTGGCCCAATCCTACCACCTTTTAGCTGGGACAGTCCGACAATGGTCACGTCTGCGCCCACCACACTGAGGTTTTGGGGCCCGATGGGGCTCCCCCCACACAGAGCCACAAAACCAAGGTCACCAACCCAGCACTGGCAGAGCCTGCAGGCTTTGGCCACCTCCTGCCCACCCTGCACCGGCTGGCACCGCACGTGGGTGCTCATTTGGGGTCCGGCAGAGCCTGGCTGGGGAGGGTCAGTGCCACCTTCCCCCATCCATGGGGATCAGCACCTGAGCCCTCCCTGTGCAGCTGGGGCAGGGGGACACACAGGATGGCTGAGGCCACCAGGTCACCTCCCTGCCCTCCACCTGCAGCACGGCCAGCAGAGGAAACCCACTGTGGTTTTGACAGGCACTTTTCAGCCGGATCAGTCCTCTGGTCCACCTGGATCTGTCCCATGGCACCACACCGGCACAGGGAGGGGGACTGCAGCAGGACCGGCTGTTTCTGCAGCAACTCGCCCTCCACTCAACTGCAACCTGGCGGCAGCACGTTGCTCTTCAAACAGCTGCGGGAGACTCAGATCCCCCAACCCAGTCCGGCCACGTGAGGCTGGGACCTGCTCATCTCTGCCAACAGCCCTGAGATTAACTCTGGGCTGGGACTGCTTTGACAGCTCCCACCAAACGGCTGAGATAACAGCCCTGAGTGGAGACGGGAGAGGACAGGGCTGCCCCGTGTGCCGAGGAACCCGGGCATGTCTTGGGCAGCTGCTGTCCTTAGCCAGGGCCAAGGGGCTGGGGAGGGACGGAGAGGGAAGGAAGTCCCTCTGCCAGGCAGGGGTGCCACTAAGTGTCACCTTGCTGCAGAGCCGGGGGGGTGGCAGTGGCCCCATTGCAGCCTCATGCCTCTTCTCTCCCTGGGGAGCTGCCGAGGCTGATGCTGAGCTGCGGAGGGGGTCCCGGGGGGACTGAGCTCGGCTGTGGTTGCTGCGGGCTCTCTTCTATCGCTGCAGGTCTCAGCAGCATCCAGCAGCATCTCCCCTTCCCCCAGGGAAGGGTCTGCTGTGCCAGGCAGCCGTCCCACCGCCTTCCCTGCCCCACGAGCACCTCAGGCATGGGGATGTGCTGCAAGCCCTGCCCGGGAGGCAGCTGGAGGTGATGCAGGTTCAGAAGAGATGGGGCAAAATGATGGAGGAAGGGCCAGGAGGTGCTGTTGGATGTCGCAATCCCTCCTCCCCGTGGGACAGGGCGTCCCTGCGCTGTGGGTGTGAGTTCAGGCGAGGTGGTGGCAGGGAGACAGTGACCTCCCCCGGGGGACGCCAGACTGGCGGCCGTCAGCGTGTTGGGCACGGAGGAGGGCAGAGGGCTGTGCAGTGCTGCCAGGGCCAGACGTGATCTCAGACAAAATGCATCACGGCCTGGCGATGCCGGGCGGATGGAGGGGGATCAGCCGCCCGTGGATCCTCCAGGGACGGCGCTACCACAAGTGGCCCCAGCATGCCGGCAGGCTCAGCAGCTGCTTATCCAGAGAGGAAAGAGGACTGAGCCCAGCTGAAGTTTTCCTCCTCACCACAGCCAGCCCTGATGGGTACGGGATGTCCCCCGAGAGCCTGGCGCTGGTGGGGGCCACCCCCTGCCAGGCCCCTCAGGAAAGCAGCCCCCTTCTGTCCAGATCTCCATCCCAGGAGGCTGCCACCCTGGGGCCAGCCTGGGCACTCGGTCTTTTCTCTCCTCCCGGTGAGATGGGAATGAAGGCAGGAAGCAGACCTGTCTTGGGGGACAGAGCCAACCCTCCTGTGACCTGGGGGACCAGCTCCTGGGCTCAGCAGCACTCGGACTGGGCAGGCTGGTGGGATGCAGTGCAGTGGCTCTGTGCAGGATGTAGCCTTGGAGAAACCCATTTGGACCGTGTTGGCTCTCTGCTCCCAGCCTGGCTATGGAAAGCTGCTGGCACTGCGGGAGGGTCTCACTGTCTCAGGCAGTCAGGGAACAGCATCAAGGCTGAGCTGAAACTCCAGCTACAAACGCCTCCAAGCTCAGAGGTTTGACTCTGAATCTGGCTCTGCACCCATGGTTAAAGCTCATTTCTCAGCATCCTGCTGGCTAGAGAGCTGTGAAATCTGTCTTTACAAAGCCAATATATAAAATGGTCCTTTTGGAAAGCCATCCTTAAAATTAGGTTCCCTTCTCCCACGCAAAGGTCACAATCCATAAAGCAAAGTCCCGAGTGCTCCCTAGGACTCCTGGCAGCTTCATGGCCCTGCTTACAGCACTGTCCTGCTGCAAACCCCTAGGAGATGGAAACTGGAAT